TCTGGGAATACTCCATTAGCTAAAAAGGTCAGTTATGGACTCGAATTCTACCAAATTTGGAGTCCTGTGGTCGGAGCTGGGACAGGCGCTGTGAAGTCGCCAAAGGGTGGGTAATTTCTGGTGGCAGCATCCTTACAGGCTTGAGTGCCAGGCTGCTCTACTCTCGGCGTGGCTTAGAAAAGGGAAGGTGTTGGGGTCACCCCCATCTTCAAGTATATTAATCTTAAACTGCAGGGTCCCAAGCATGTGATGCAACCTCTCGTCAGTGGATCTCTGGCAGGTGGCAGAGGAAAGGCAGTAGCTGTGTACTTAGGAAAGGGCATACAGAATTACTCTCGTGTTGCTTATCCCCTTCCCAAAAGTGCCTCAATATCTGTCCTCCAGTGGCCTGTACCTTAAACAAAATATCTACCTTAGACTCATTCTTTCTTCACTTTATCCTTGCCTACAGCACACCCTAAAGCTGAGATGCTAGAACAGCGGAGGACTGGATCTAAAAAAACTCTGTTAAGTACTTCAGGAACTGCAGTGGGAAGCATGCTCAGTGAGCTGGCATGGAAAAGGCTTTCAAGAGGAGGTGCAGCTCAGCTGTCTCTTGTGCTTGGCTCTAAGCTACGCTCACTTGGACATCATGGCTGGGAGCTGGGCAAGGGCTTTTCTTCAGCACACGTTCTTGGAACAACAGGCTGGGAGAAAAGACTCAAACTCAGAGATCCCTCTGTGTCTTCTACACAATGCAGAGCCACATCCCTGCCTGCTGCAGCCTTTCACTGTGGGACAGCCACGTGGACTCCAGCCTCCCGAGTCCCTTAAAATTGAGAAGGCCCAGGCTGTGGGGCTGTGGCTGGCACAGCAGTGCTGAGCTGCTCAGCTAAGGCAAGACAGGAGTATCACTGGGCAGGCAGTGAGGCATTTTCACTTGAAAATGTGAGGTTTTATGTCTCATCAGGCTGCACGTATGCTGTGTAGGGGTTCTCAAGGCGGTAAGCTGCCTGCTGGAAAAATAACTTGGATCTGGAATACTCAGTCTGGCCCAATGGAATGAGCTAGAGCCAAGGAAGTGACACCTCTGCAGCCTTCTGTCCTTTCAGGTGTGAATCATCAAGCAGCTGCCTGCCCCAGGTACTCACCAGTCTGAGCAGAAGCTCCCAGCACAGAGACAGAAAAGGCAGTGGAGGCACGTTCTCCGTGCTACAGTGCACCTGCTATGGGACACCAGTTTACCTTGTGGCTGGCAGGGAAGGACCTGTTGCTGTGGTGTTCGCAGATGGTTGTTTTTTTTCCTGACCAGCCTTCTGGAGAGCAAAGTACTGATATAAGAAGCCATCCTTGCTGCTGGTGAGGCCTTGGTTTTTCATCCTGGCTGGGGCTGTGCTCGGGCAGGTGCAGCACAAGGCCTGGGTGGAAGCCGCAGTGCCGAGTGCTCATGCACAGGGCAAGGGCTGCTGCCAGAATCCCTGTTCCTTCCTTTTCACAAAGCTCTGGTCACAGCTAGGTGAACACTAAGGACTGGTTTTCAACTAATCACTGCTTTCTAATGGTCACAAATGAAGAATTTCTTTAGTACTAAACAAGTGATGTGCTGAAATTTGGTCTTTTTTCATTGTAATGATTGTAGGAGACCAAATAATCTGAGGTCTTAAACCTTCCCTATGTTTAATTTCAGCTCCAGGGGTATGGCAGTAGCAAAGCCCTAGTAAGATAGATCTTGCTATTCTGGAAAAAAAAAATATCAAAAGTGCTTCTGGCAGCAGTCTGTCACTCACTGAACCCGAGCAAGCTCACCCAGCAGAACTTGAGTGCAATTACTAGATGCTTGTGCTGTGAAATGCAGAGGGCCTGTGGAGGGGCCACCACAGCCCAGCTGCCATGAATGTCTCCTTCCAGACATGAAGCATACTGAAGGTCAGCTCATCCGTGTGTCCACTCCCAACAGGTGTAGGTGGGTGTAGTGTGTACCCCAGCAGGCTGCACGACAGGAGGAAGTGTTTCCCAGTGGCCCGTGGCAAGGTGAGGCACAATATCTCCCATACCTAGTGAAGGCAGAAGTGTGATGAATTTGGCTTAGTCTGCTGAATTTCAGCACTAGGAAGGTTGCAAGGACAGTATTGATTCAACTCCATGAGTGTGTCTGTGCTTCTGTATTGCCACTGAAGAAACAAAAGGAAAGGAGGTGGGGTTAGGATTTGAGCCACCACAGCTGCACACAGCAGGGCCACCTCCAGGCACCGGTACTCGCTTTGTGGCTGCTGAAGTGACCTCTCCTGACCAACGTCCTTGGCTGGGGAAGGAGAACTGCATCAGCCTGGGTGGGGGACAGCTGCAGTGTTAGCAGTGCCTCAGGGGAACCGCAACGCAACATTGCTCAGAGCCACCTCCTTCAGTTCAGTAACTTTACCACTTTTGTTTCCTACTTAGAGCTGACCCTCTCTCGATCTCTTAGGTAGGGTGACTTGCTTCCTCCAAGCTAGAGGTCTATGGTTATGCTGTAGAAGTGGGGGAGCTACAGTTAGCTTCCAGTGGAAGCTGCTTTTGATCTCCCTGCAGTATCTGCAGGGGAGGGAAGGAGCACTTGATTCGGACAGAACAAGCTGCAGAGGATGCATCTGACTGCTACACCTTTAGGGGGTCTGTTGTCCCCATTTTTAACTTGCATAATAAGCTTTTATTCATGTGTCAAGCTAAACCCCACTCAGACCAAAAGAATGCCACTTGATTTGTTAAGTAGCAAAGACTAATGGGACTGACACTGAAGTTAGGGGTTATCTTCTACTAGGCTTCTGCTGGGTGTAAAGCAGATAGTGGCAGATTTGCAGGGATTTTGGATTCCGTTCTCAAGAGGCCTGCCTGGGGGAAGAGACCCAACTGGTCCTCAAGTCACCCATTATCCAAGGAACTGGTCATATTGTTCCTTTCAATACACAGGTGCAGCCCTCTCGGGGAAAAATGTCTAAAGCTTCTTGTGCCATTTGGTTAATAAAAGTGTTTCCACCTTTACAAGAAGGTTCTTTCCAGCTTCATTGTTCTATATTCCGTTGAAGTGAAGGGGTATGTACGTTCTTCCCTCTGCTAATGGGACACTGCTGTAAGACCATGCCCCCCAGGCTGCACTTTAATAATAAATGGTACAGTTTTCAAAAACAAGGTGTGTGCTACTTCTGTGCTTTTTTTCCCTCCCTTCCTGTTCAGGGAGGAATGCTTTGGGTACTTGCACAAAAAACTGACAGCACCAAAATAAATCCAGGTGGAAATTAAAATTCTTAAGACCTGCATTGCCATGAGAACCAACAATTTTATTTAAAAAAACACCAGAGATTATTTACATCGTTTTGGGGCTTTCGAGGCAGCTGGATCACAGGTGAAGCCTTTGGCACCTGTGTGTTTATAGGTATGTATCAAACAACCTGAGTACAAGTTTGTTGAACCTGAGATGTGTCTGCAATACACTTGTAAGAGATGCCATGTATTCCTCCTGATCCAAGGCTGATTAGCAAGATATTCTAAAGATAAACACTTTTCTTCAAGCATATCCAGGTTGTTTGCCCTGTACCTACCCTGTACTTTTCTTTACAATTTCTTGGGTTTATTTTTCAAGTGAGCACAGGTTTATGGCAACTGATACTGAAGCATCTGTACTTCAGCCTTCCCCAGTGAAATACCCCTAATATCTTTAGGGTTGTTCCCTCTTGATGCCAGTTCCCCTCTATGATCCCCCCCTCCTTGGTGATTTGTGCTGATCAACCACCCATTCTACAGCCTGAGGCCTTCCTGGGAGGGATTAATAGTATGGCTCAGCTGCAGCACCAGGAGGAGAGCTGGGATGAGAAAAAAAAATAGAGAGCAAGCTCTATGCCTATAGCATTTCCTCTGGAGGCACAAGGCAGGGGCTGCACAAAGTCTGCTACTGCTAAGGGAAAAAAAAACAGAAAAGGAAAAAAACTTGTAAAATGAGAGAGGGCAAGCACTACTCTTTACAGGTACTTGCAGAGCTGGCAGGCAGCTCACGCTACCAGCTCACGCTACTGTCATTGCTCCACTAGCTGACAAAAGCCTACCTATGTATGAAGCTCTCCCTTCCCTTTCACAGCTGTATCTGGAAGGTAAGAACAGAAGAAGTTATTTGCATACACAAAGGACAGTAGGAAGTCTTCAGGGATGCAGATTCTCTCTCAAGGCCGGACAGAGGAGGGCAGGGGAGCTCAGCCACGCAGCTGGAGGGGAGAGACAGAACCAGCGTTAGCAGCAGCAGAGCTGCCTGGCCCTGCCCCAGGCACTGTGCCTGCCCCGCCGCCCGCCCAGGGACCCTCAGCCCCTGCTTTGTGCCAGTGGCACAGAGCCAGCTGGCACCAGAAGTGCCGGGGCACGGCACGGACCAGCCCCAATGCCCAGCACAAGCCCTTCCTCACACCCCGTGCCTGGTGGGTGGGTGAGCTCCAGCCCCGCGGTGCGAGGCCTGTGCTGCAGCTCCAGACAAGAAGGGAGCTGCCACTGCCCACCGGGCCGTTTCTTGTGGCTCCTCTGCTGGTGCTGTTTCTCAGGGGCAATTCCCTTCCCCTTCCCACTCTGCCAAGCTCTGGGGAGCCCAGGAAGACAAGAGCAGAGACCTCGGGCCCAGTAGATTTGGGAGACAGAGCCCTCAGAGCTGAAGTCAGGCTACCCTTTGAGGGCATGATGAACCCGAGTCTTAGCAGCAGAGCTCCCTGAAGAGGCTTCAGGGAGCTTAGGAGCAATCACATCTCAGAATTATTTCTACAGAATAAATGCACTCTGTTCACTAGCTGCTGCGAGAGTGGGGCAAGCAGAAGCTGTGACATGTCCCCCTCAAGCCTCTGTCCCTCAGCACATCAACTTTCAGAGCTCTGCAGGGCCTGGCATTCCCTTCTGGCCAAAGCTCCAGAGCAGTGCACAGAACCCAGCAGGGCAGCGGCAGCTCGGAGCTAGGCCACCCTCCAGGAACGGCCTGGGCCGGTTTGGAGCTGGCTGTGACTCTCAGCACTCACCAGCCTGACAATGTAGTTGTGGAGCTGCTGGCTGAGGAAGTTCAGAGAGACGCTGAAGACGCGCTGTAGAAGGGCAGGCATCGTATTCGCAATTTTTTTAGTTAAGAGCATCACTAGCACCAACACGGCCTTCTCCCGTTCCATGTCTGAGGGGGTGGCCTCTGCAAGCTCTTCCACGGCCTGGGACAGGACCCGGGTTATCTGCTGCATGGGAAGAAGGGTGGGGTCTGAGCGCAGCAGCCTAGGAGCACGGGGTCTCGGCCCTCAGCCTGCCCGCGCCGTGCTGCTGCCTGGTGGGCTGGTTCTAACTCCCCACAGGCTGATGCTCCTCTTCCTCCCGGGCACAGCAGCCAGCCTGTCACACAGCCTGGATGGCAATAAGGACAACTATCAGAGCTCAGTTGCTCACTCAACACAAGAAGAAAGGGAGACAACACATATACCACTGGAAAATTTAGACAGCACCTTACACACTCGGGGTGCAGCAGTCCTCCTCCTCCTCCTCCCCCTCCTTGGGGTTCACACCTAGCCTGAAGTGGCACAGGAATCCTGGGGCTCCCAGGAAAGGGCGACCCAAACACAGTGGAGATCAGGGGTGCAAATGTGGGGACTGGCAGGGCCACGTGAGTTTCACAGAAAAACCTTCATTCAGGGAGGAGATAGAGAAGTGTCCAACCATGGAACAATCACTGCCTTGCTCCCAAGAGAACTGGGAGATCATTTTCTCCAAGATGCACACACTAAGCTGCACTACTAATGTGAAAAAAACAAGGTCCACCTGGTTAGAAGTTAGGTTTGAATCAGCCTTATCAAAGGTTGAAACATTAGGCAATAAATTTGAAGGCGTGAAACTTAACTGGGTGAAGAACAAGACAGCAGGAGTGGGGAATGGTCAGACTTTGCTGGAATCAGTCTGTGCAGAGGATAAGCCCTAGCAGGAAAAAAAAACCCAAACCAACAATCCAAACAACACTACAAAACACCAAAAAAGATTGTTTGAAGAACTAAAGACCAGGAATTAAATCTTGGTCTTCTCAGCAAAAAGGTGGACCCCCCAAAGACAGCATTAGCTTGTAGAGCGTAGGAAACTCCATCACAGGCAGAGAAAGCCAAACAACCCAGAAAGCCATAGTTACCCTGAAGAAGCCAAAAAGCCTCTGTGGAAGCAAACCGTGGCTCTCGATCCAGGTGTGGATCCAATCCTTAAAAACAGAGCAACGACTAACACAAGGGACCTCAAACTCCAGTTCCCCTGCAGAGCAGTGGGGTGCGTTAAATGCTGGGCCAGGGACTACACATCCCATCTACTGGTAGGAGAATAACTGCATCAAAGTGGAGATGCCATCTAGGGAGGCCTCAGCAGGTCACCCATCCAGTCAAAAGCCACTGCTACTCCCAACACCGACAGTCTATGAGCTAAACAGGGATGGCATTAGGAAAGGGTCTCACTACTTGCTCTCTCCTCAGTGCTCAGTGACAAGCACAAGTCAAGCTTCTGGCACTAACACTGCTCAAGTTTCACCCACATGAGGAGCAGCAGACATACAGGACTCAGCACCAAAGTCCAAAGGATCCTAAGGACAAATACTAAGTCATAACCAGACAGCTGACTTTCAAAGATAAGACACTGGGACAAAAAAACAAGGACAAAATGTCTCTAAGTCAGTCCTTCTCCACTGCTCCCTCAGTTTCACCATGTGCAGAAAGATGAGCCCAAGGAACCTAATCTGCAGGGCAACAGCTGCCTCAGCAGCATCACATCTAGCAAATCTTCAAAGGTCAGTATTTGGGCTGAATTTTAAGAGAGCAATAATTAAACTGGCAAAGTAGCAAAGACACAGAAGTTGCAAAGCTTGCTGCTTTGCAGCCATGGCAGGAAGGCTGCACAACATTTAGAGGGGAACTGCTAGTCACGTTGCTTCTCACTCACCTCTCCAGACAGGTTCTCGTTCAGGAAGTGCTGCACTAGATCATTGACTACTTTTGCTTTGATTTCTTTATCAAACTGGTCTCCAATCTCAGCGAGCTGAGCGGCAATCATCCGGACAACTTCTTCATTTACCTCACGGTCAAATGCTGCCAACACACGGAGCAGGATTTAGCTCACAGGCTGTAGCCAGACTGGGTTGGGGGCAGGTAGCTGGCCTGCAGCATTTTGCCCACCTCCAGCAACAGCCTCCTTCCCAGGCCAGCCCCACAGTGCACCCAGGCCGGCTGCGGGCACCACAACCCCCCTGCCTGCACCTGGCTCCCTTACCAGAGGCAGTGTGCAAACGGGTTTTTATCTCTAGCTTAGGTAAAGTGCAGCCCTTGGCCCAAAAAACACTACAGGGGAGGTTAGAACATCTCCAACCAAAATTTGTCCAGGACAGCTAGAGCAAACACCCTGCCTAGAGAGGAAGTGAGAAATGGTGCATGACTTTCCCCAAGTGGCTACTGTCAGGACCTGTATCTTAAAGACCATCTAAAATACATCTCTAAAGTGCATCTCATAGAATGTTTTCAATTGGAAGGGACCTCTAAAGGTCATTTCATCCAGTTCTCCTGCAGTGAGCAGGGACATCTTTAACTAGATCAGGTTGCTCAGAGCCCCATCCAACCTGACCTTAAATGTTGCCAGGGATGGGGCATCCACCACCTCTCTGGGCAACACAGGGCAGTGTCTCACCACCCTCATCATAAAACACGTCTTCCTTATATCAACCTCCCTTTAGTTTAAAACCACTACCCCTTGTCCCATCTCCTTTTGGAGCTTCCCATTGTCACCTGGGGCACAAGGCTGATGCAGACTGGTATGAGGGGCTGCTGTTTACTGCAGCAGTTCCTCCTTACCCTGCTGAGGTTGAGGTCAAAGTGCCAGCTCACACAGCCTTGTCAAGGGGCAGCAGTCATCCTGCAGATGGGTAGTGAAGCAGGAACGGTGCCAGAAACTACTTGAGGAACAGTTTTCCACCACACTAGTGGAGCAGAAAGGGATTCAAGAACAAGAGTTCTTCTAAAATCCCGTCCCAAGTAAGGATACTCCCTGAGGAGCAGTGTGAGGCCTAACTTAACTGCCTAATATCACGCTCCTTGAGGACAGCTATCATTAGTTCCAGCTTTGTGGCCCTTGTCTGAGCTGCCACAGACAAAACCCCAGGGTGACGGGTGCTCTAGAAATCCTTGTGGAGATAAAGTGCTGAACACCAGCTGCCTAATCCCAAGTGTTAAACTCACAACCAACACCACCACCACCAGCCACACTGTGAAGTTTCTCAAAAGAGAAAACATCAATCCTCTGAAACAAAGCAGCAGCAAAGATAGGAAAAGGCGGAAGAAAAACATCACCTCAGGGAGGCAGGCGGGACGGAGGACAGAGCACTCACTCACCTGGCTCGCCGTTCTGCAAGTGGCCGCTTCGATTGCCATCGGTCTGGAGCTCCACCTCCTCATCATCACAGCAGATGCCTTTTGGGAAAGGCACAAGGCCCTGGCTTTGCAGGGAATGCAGCTGCTCTCTGAACTTGCAGTCAGAGGATACCTCCAGGAAGGTGTACAGCAGAGCACACTCCATCTGGACAGATCCATTGATCTTAAACATAAGAAAATAACTGTTAAGCCCATGCCCAGGAGAAGTCTCACTCAAAAGGTCTCTGCAGATGCCGTTTTCCAACCCTGAACACATCTTTCTGGCTTCCTTTGGGCATTAGCCAGGAAGTCCACAGGACTTCAGCAACTGTGTACTAACATCTGGCTGTGTACCTCCACAGCACTGTCTGATGGTGACTGACAGAAGGCACTGGTCTTACAAACAAGTGGTGGAAGAGCCAGCTCACCTTCTCCTGATGTTTCCAGCCGTGGCAATGACAGAAGTTCTGATCCCAGCTCCTCTTTTGAAGCAGGCTCAGCACAAGGCACTCAGCTCCCTCATTCAGATGTTTTTTACCCCTGTATTTGGGAACTGAGCATTCTACTTCCCATGCACAACAAAGCCAGCAGCTCCCCATTTCAATGTAATCAGAGCCCAGCAGTAACAAGGTGGGGAACAAAGATAACAGCATAAGCCAGCAAAAAAAAACCCCAAGAGTTCACATTTCTTCTTCCTCTCCAAAGGGATCTCAGCTAGCTCCATAATAAACCTCTTCAGCTCCCTGTAGGGAGCCAAACAGCTGCTCACAAGACTAGTGATGGTAGAGGTGGCAGATCACTGGTGTCTGGTGCCTTCTGCACCAACCCATTCACTCACAGCAAACAGGCAGATGCTGCCTGGCACAGAGCACCCAGATTAGTGAGGTTAAGGAGGCCCGTGAGGCAGTCAGACTGATGTGAGAAAGAGGTCCCACTGGAACACAGGGCCTCCAAAACAACTAAAACCTATAGAAAAACAGGATACTGTCCAAAAATTTTAATTAAGCAGCCAAGAGGGCAGGGTGTTGTGTATGCACAGAAATGAGGCGAGAAAGCAAATCCTCACTCTAGTATGCAGACTGTCTGCCTACAGGGTAAGAAGATGCTTTGACTTCATTGTCCCCAGGGAGAAGAATCAAGGCTAAATCAGAATGGCTTGTCTTGCCAGCTGCATAGGGCTGGATAACCAATATGCAACCTTGATGAACTTGGTAACTGAAAGGGAGTTTCGGGTATTTTTTGGGGAGTGGAACCTTGCAAGGCCACCTATACCTACATAACTGTGTAAGTAATATCATATAGGAGCCATGTTGCTGAGGTAACTGTAGGAAAACTGGGACAAAATCATAAAAAGTAATAAAGGACAGGTAGTTTACTTGAAAGGAGACTAGCCATAGAAAAGGAATAACAAAGGCAACAAAAAGGAGAGTCCAGAAATGGAAACAAATGGAAAATAAAATATCTGACCCCTCACAGAATCACTAAGGTTGGAAAAGACCTCTAAGATCAGCAAGTCCAACTGTTCAACCCAGCATTACCATGACCACTAAACCATGTTCCAGAGTGCCACACCAACATGTTTTCTGAACACCTCCAGGGATCGTGACTCCACCATCTCCCTGGGCAGCCTGTTAAAAAGCCTCACCGCTTTGTCAGGAAAATAATTCTTCCTAATATCCAATCTAAACCTCCCCTGCTGCAACTCAAGCCTATTTCCTCTTCTCCTATCAAAGACCAGCAGAAGGCACACCTTCCAAGATCTGAGCATGGATGTATACAGTCAGTAGCGAAGCTGATCCAGTGACCCAAGCTCACTGGGGCACCAGTGGCAATCCCCTTGAACAACCCACTGGACTAGTGATCCAGTTGGTGTTCAGAAGGCTTGTAGGAGGGCAGAGCAAAGATGGCTGTGACTGCACGCTAACACTAGGTGGGGTGAGGACATTTCAATAGCAGCAGTTAATAAGGTTTAAGCGAGACAAACAGCCACTTCCTAGTTCTGTTTATTATTGCACAAAACAATATAATAGGTTGATCACAGTGGTATGTCTATTAATTTATTCGTTTTAGTAGTTTGTAGCTTTATCAGTAAACATTGTAGTCTCTTAAACAGCTCCAGCCTGCAGTTTACAGGGGAAGTGTCCTACTGGGAAGTAACAAGGAAGCAAACTGCAATCTGTGTGGTTCCATCTACTCATCTGTACTCAGCGCAGTGTCAGGGCCCCTGCAGGAGCTCTGGGGAAGATGGGAAGGACACAAGCCAGCACTTTTTGGGACTTATCCTCTTTGAGGTATCTCAGAACAAGTGCACAAGAGAACCACTGGTCACTGTGAACCACTGGCTTCGGTCATGTTTGAATCTAACCTGTGCCATGACGGATTCAAAGACTGAGCAGCTCTTGTCACCCTCTGCTTCAGACCAGGAGTCCTCACCCTGCAAAAGAAAGATAAGGGTGAAAGGAAAAAACAAATTCCCATAAACCCACATGTTGCAGCAGTGCTCATGGGTCTGGCCATGTCTCACAGAAAAGGACCTTTCCAGTGATGTGTATCTGCATTTCTGGAGAGGGCTGCCATCAAACCCAGGCAGTCATCATAAAAAAGGAGGCTTAGGAAACCACAACTGTCCCAGCAAGAAGGGCCCATTCAGGGGAATGAGGGGCATGAAACTCCTTCCTGCCAGACACACGTGGAAGACAGTGGAGCAACATAAGCCAGAGATGAGGCTTTAAAGCCAAGAGGTGGTGCTGGGAAAGGGAGGGACAAGCCCTCCAGTGCCAGTGGCTGGCAGGGAAAGCAGTGTTGTCACAGAGCAGTGCCCGAGTGCCCGCTGAGCACAGGGCAGCTCCCCGGCTCTGAGTGCACAGCAGCAGGCTCTGGAGTGGAACACCCACTGACACTGCCACACATCTGCAGAACTACAGGTGCATCTCCCCACACCCCCCACACAGAGACACGTGTGTATACTCAGGCTTACTTCAACACTTTCCCAACAAATATCTAGGGATAGGGAAGGCTGGACAAAGTGCCAACAAAGGCTTCTAGCTACATGAGCACAACTCCACTACACCTCCAGGGAGGCCTATTAGGAAGTGGGGAGAAGACAGGACCCAGGTCACAAGCTCCTCTGCCCCCATGGTGCATGCTCAGGGCTCACCACCCGTGGCTGTCCTGTGGCTGGGCAGTGGCCAAGGGAAGCGGCGTGCAGGGAGGGCAGAGCGTGGTGCTCACCCGGGGCAGGGGAGCTGCCAAGAGCACAGTGCTCCCTGCTCAGCCAGCTGGGCGTGGGTCAGAGCAGCAGCCCAAGGAGTCACAGCTGGTACAGGAAGTGCCAGAGCACGAGAGAGGCGTGAGAGCAGCACAGCAAGTGCCAACAACACAAGACTCCCTAGCAAATGCCAAGGCAGGGAGGACAGGAGTCCTGTTTGAGAGCCTTGCATCTTCTGACTTAGATGCAACAGTCCCACAGCCGCACACGAGGTCTCTGGTGCAAGCTGGCTTCAACTCTTGATGAGCAGGACCTGGCTGAAAGTGGGCACTACCTTTCCACCAGGCCTGCTTCACCCAGGGCTGTTAAACCTGGCTGTTACACAGGTACCTTCTGACCAAAAGTGGGGTTAAAGCCCCAAGGAGCCCAAACAGATGTCCCACTAACCATCAAAGACCTGAGGCAGTGATGAATGACCTATTTCATAGAAACAACTCCTCCCAGCTGTATTTCAAATAACTAAGTGTGCTGAGAGAAAAGAGGGAGGAAGTAAAAGCAGAAATGAGTTCAAACTCTGAAAGAAACCACAGCAATAATTTCAAGAGACCATGAATTTCCCACCTACTCAAAAGCTCTTAGAAGACCTCAAGACAAAACACAACCTCAAACGTATATCTAAGACATACAAGATCCCACAGGCAACCTCATAACAATGAGCTCTTTGTCTCAGTTACATCAGACCAACAGCTTCCTAAACCACAGGCTTGGCCTTTGCTGCTCTGTGTTCTCCTTTGCTCCATTCAAACCCCTGCAGCAGCTACTCACCTCTGCACTGAAGGGTGAGCTGGCTGAAGAGAGTGCAGTCCTCTGCCCTCTTCTCTGGGACCTGACAGGGCTCGGAAACAGGTCAGGGTGACCCTTCTCCTGGGCTTGAATTTGCTGGAGAAGAGACAGATGTTAATGCAGGTTGGAGAACTTGAGACAGAATCCCTGAGGGATTGAGAGGAAAATGGGGAATTAGCATTTAACTCTGTGACGGGTCCTTGGCTTTGTGCAAGCTCCTCAGGAGTTGTCCACTTCAGCAACACTGATGTGGAATAGGCAAAACAACTTGCACATATTTTTGTTTTAGATATAACATTTTCAATTCAAAGTAATTCAACCCAAAACCAAGGTCTTCGTGTTACAACTAGTAAAGAGTGGATAACCTCTGATGCTGACTCCTGCTGAGCTAAACACCACTTCCTGAACCATCACAGCTTAAGCTACAGGAGGCCTGAAGGAGCATTGAGCCTCTGCTGCCCACTTCCCATTTGCCTCAAAACACACATTCATCACACAACAACCTTTTTGGGTTCTACCAGCACCCCCAGACAACTCTAGCCTATGCCAAAAGCTTCAGGTGGGACCACAGCAGTACACTATAGCTGGTCAGATTAGTCCATGCTGGCTAATTTGAGTTGGTAACATGCAGCTGACTTCATACCACAGGTAGAGGCTGGAGGAATCTCCCCGTCTTTCGAGACGCAAGGAGCCGTACTGTCCTCAGCTCACACGCCACGCGCACGCAGCGGGCAGAAGTTCTGGCAGGGGTGTGATGCAACACGAGCCACCACAGCTGCCTGTTGCACACAAGTGTCCACAAGTGATGGTGAAACCAGTGGAGTGGCACCAAAGAGACCTCTCAATGGCAAAAACTTTTCAGAGGAACCTCTTCCACCCAAGCCTAGCCACACTGTGCTAGCATGACCTGGTTTCTTTTTTCTCATCCAAGAGAATTCCAGGAAATTGCTGGAGGGCAAGTTGAGCACAGTGATGTGGCAATATGACTAAATAAAACATTGACCTGCACAGAGACCAATGTAATTTTCTTACAGCAAGAGGATGGACTAGAAATAGAAGTCAAGAGACTTCCTTGGGGGCTTTGCCACCTGCCACATTTCCAAGGAAAGCTCAAAATGTGGCTTTAAACCCCACACTGCCTA